TCACCCATATCAACTCCCAGGTATCCATAGATATTGTTTCTCCTATATTTTGAGCCCATTTAATCATACAATCTTTAACTAGCTCAGTTTCTGAATCCAATTCTAATAAAACATTATATATCCTTCTAATATGTCCTTTAGCATCATCCCTTACTTGTTTCAAAAAATTCCCATCTTCCATAAAAAAAACAGTTTTTTTTATCAATTCGCCATCTCTTGAATTTGTCTATACACAAGCCAGGAAAAGTCTGGCTCACCCCCTCCCATCTATCTAATTTTTTAACCACCCAACTCCCTCATAAGGGGCTCTAGGCAGTGTATTTGTTTATATTTCCTATTTCTTAAACGAGACAGTTAATACTGGGGCTGGCCAGCAATCAATTATTCACAAAGAGGATTTTGAAGTTAACACTCACAAACACGAAGGCTCCATGACCATAGAATTCTGCTCCTAATCACCATGATGCCAAAACAGTAGATGCTTCATGACATTTTCATGCTTGGATCACAATATTGCATATAAGTATGTAAAAGGTGTGTAGTCTATCATAATGCACAATTTGTCACTTGCCTTCTCCTGTACACACCCATTTTGTGACAAAGAGTAAGGCTTCAGAAAGCATTTACTCCTTACATTTATGAAGATCAATATACCCTTGATGCAAACTGTCACTCGGGCAACTTGATTGGTGGTTAAACCTTCATTCCAGGCACTTGTCTATGTTTGCTCATCCCTGCTACAATGTAAGAAATGGAGCTGAGGTGATTTTTCCTGCCAGCAAGTGAGTTTCATGCAAAGGAAAACAATGCCAAATGAATTGCTACAGGTAGTCCTTGACTGACAACCGTTTTGCTTAGTGATAGTTCAAAGTTATAACAGCACTGAAAAAATGACATATGACTTGTTTTTCACACTTATTTTTTTAATCAACTTTATTTTATTCAAAAAAATTAAAACTCAAAATCCAAAAGAAAAAAATTTAAGAGACAAAACAAAATAAAACAAAACATTGAAAAAGTATGAATTAAAAAAATAACAAAAACACATATTATTCCCCCTAGTTGAACACTAACCAAACTATTGCAATAGTAATAGCTTCCCTCCCCTTGCAAAACAAGTCCAACGTTTATAAGCTTGTATAACTGTTTGCAACCTAATTGATCTGTCATACATTACATATGTAAAAGAAAATAATAGTTGGAAGCTGGCTGGGAAGATTGTAAATGGCAATCATGTGAACCTGGGATGCTGCCATCACTGTAAATACATGCTGGTTGGCAGGTGCCCAAATTTTGATCACATGACCATGAGGATGCTGCAATAGTCATAAGTCCCCACTCAGCACCACTTTCACGTTGAATGGTCACTAAGTAAATGGTTCTTGTTTAGCCATACTTGGGACCGGCAACTTGGTCATTAAGTAAAGTGGTCGCTAAGTGAAACTGTGACCATGCTTATGATCTTGCTTCCCCTGACCTTTGCTTTATAGACCTTCAAAGGTCGTAAATGCCAGGATTTGTCAGAAAGTTGCTTTTTCATCATCCTTGTAACTGAATATTTGCTAAGCAAGGCCATTACTAAACGAGGACTACCTGTGTTTTCAAAGAGTTATACTTAAAACAATTTCTAGCTCTCTTCTGAGCAGCATTTGTCAACTCAAGCTCTGTTAGGTGACCTATAAGAAAGAAGCAAAATCAGAATATTCAGGGCAGACTTCTTGCCATAGCAGCAGTCTGATTTTGAAATACTCCATTCTTTTTGATTTCCCTCACTGTTGCTGCAAGGAACTGCTGAGCTAGAACTCTCTGGCTCCCAAAACCAAGAAAGACATGGTGAGTTTCTTCTAAGCAGTTTCCTTTATGGTTACACACCCATAGACAGAAATCTTGCCCCAACTAAGGCAAACTACTTGCATCATATACTCTGAGAACTCCTAAGGAGGAGCTGTCTAGACCAGACGTTGTGTCATGGTTCCGATAGACAAGACCATATAAATCAGAACTCCGAGGCTTGAGATTTCCTCAAAGAACATGTTTATTGGTTACATAGTATCCGCATGGTCAAAAGTGAAACCAAGTCTGAACTTCCTTTCAGAAAGCAACAATATTACAAAGTTGAACTTCCCACCCCAGAGCTGTGCAATCAGCTACATTCCCCAATAGAATAGTTTTGTGGGATTTCTAACTAAATGCTCCAGCCCCTACCTAACTGACAAATGACCTTGGTTCCCATGGGACAGTAAAATGTTTTGACTAGTAGAAATCCTCCCCACCCACCCACCCCAATCCTGTGGCAACTTAGAACAAAGGAAATGGCTGCAGCCAGGTTCGTTGTAGAATTGACACATTGTGATTTTCAATCGCAGACTGCAAAAAAATATTGATACGCATTGTGAAGCGTCTTACCAAAATGTTTCTTTTGCCTCTTTATTTTTCCTAAACAGGTAATTGTTGAAAAAAATAAGCAGGGGAATAAATCAGCAGTGAGAGAAATGCTCTATAGGATAATACAGAAGAAAGAATGGCTCTCACCCTTTCTAGAAGCCCTGCGTGAAGCTGGTCATGCAAACATGGCTGCTTACATAAGCGGGGATCCAAACGGTAATAATATAATTTCATTTGGCGTATGTTCATGTTTTGATAAATGTTTGTGTACTGATGGTGTGCTTATTTCCAAAGGAAATAATTTTGCACAGGTTACGTAAACCTAGGAGCATAACTGTATGTTTCAAATATGATTGGCTTATATTTTTAACAGGAAAATAATTGAGCAGTCTTGAATCAAAATAAACTGAATCACTTCTGACCTATGCTTACAGATAGTCCTCAACTTGCAACCATTTGTTTAGTGGCCATTTGAAGTTACAACAGGCCTGAAAGTGGTGATTTATGACTCGTGCTTGCACTTGCGTTCCCATGGTCACATGATGAAAATTTGGACGCTTGGCAACCAACATGTATTTTATGATAGTTTGCGGTATCCCAGTGTTACATGATCATTTGACCTTCCTAGCCAGTTTCCAACAGGTACAATCCGTGGGGAAAGCTAGATTTGCCTAATAACTACATGATTTATTTTAACGACCACATGAGTCAATTAATGATTGTAGCAGAAGAGGTTGTGAAGTTGGGCATGGCTTGCTTAATGATGGCCTTAGCAACAGGAGTTCCGATCCCAATTATGATTGTAAGTTAGGGGCTCCCTGTATTTTTATATATTGGTAGAGTCTGATAATATTGTGTTGGAGATTATTACTTACTTTATTTGTTTCTACATTTACTTAGGAATAAGGTACACTAAAAACATTGAAAGGTGTTTCTAAATAGACAACTTGTAGATCTATTCTTTATTGGCTACAAACTTATTTCAGTAGGACTTAATTTCTCTTGAGTTGTCATGGTCTGTGGTCTGATTTCCATTTTTCTCCTCATCTTTAAAGCTACACTTCAAAGCTTCAAGCCTTCTGAAAATTCTCTACTTTCAAAAATTGATTCTTGCTACTGTGCTTTGTAACTCTTCAGTTAAGGTTCCTTCATACCTGTTATTTGGGTGCATATATGAATAAGGACAGCCACTGACAGATGGAAGTTCTGATCATAAAACTTCCAAGATTTCTTTCAGTTTAGCCCTGAGCACATCCCAAATTGTATATTAGAAACTGAAGTCCATTATTTTTTTTGTAGGTCATTAATTGAGCAGTTATTTAAATGAATAAGCTTCAGTTATGGGTTTTTATTTTGGTTGAACAGAACAAGGCGTAAATGGAGCCTCTGATTCATCAAACGAAATGTATGAGGCACCAAGTTCTGAAGTTGTGGAGAATCTGCAGCCAAGAATTGAATTACAAGAAACTCCAGAGGATGAGGAGAATGCATCAGAAAAATCACTTGAAGACCTCCTTGCAATTTCAGGTGATTTGTCATCTACCAGTGTTTTTATAATTTGTAGAACTGATCAGTAATATTGTAAGTGTGGATGCCATTACATATATGATACACTAGATGGCATTCAGGGTTCTCCAAGAATTTTTAATTAAAGGAGCCCAAAAACTGTTTTTCTTCCAATTTAACATTTTGGGAGGAAAGCATGCACAATATTAGGTAAAATCACTTCATGGTGTTTTCTGTCTGAAAGGTTTGCTGTCCTCTGATATAATCAGTTTAACTAAATCTGTGCCAAATCTCCCTCATATTAAAGACATTGGGTCCCGAACTTTTCAGGAAGTAATGGTGTGCACCATGAAAGCACTAAGACTAGTTTTGTGTTCTTCCTCTACTCTCCAAGAGTAAAAAGAAAGGGTCCTTCTTTGGCACCAAAGCAGCTACAACCGTCTTTCATACGCCTGCCTTCCAAAATCTCATGAGAAGGCTGCACACATTTTAGACAAATCCATGTGCAATTTGGACAAGGGGTAGACAGTGAACAAGGGGTAGACAGTGAAGAAGAATAGAATAGACAGGGGTAGACAGTGAAGAAGAATAGAATAGACAGGGGTAGACAGTGAAGAAGAATAGAATAGAGCTGGAAGGGACCTTGGAGGTCTTCTAGTCCAGCCCCTTGCTCAAGCAGGAGAACCTATACCATCTCAGACAAGTGACTGTCCAGTCTCCTCTTAAAAACCTCCATTGGTGGAGCGCCCACGATTTCTGAGGGCAAACTGTTCCACTGGTTAATTGTCCTCACTGTTAGGAACTTTCTCCTTAATTCCAGGTTGCTTCTCGGGAAGAAGATTAGCACAGCCAGCAGCTCATGAAGGGCCAGGCTGGGGACACCTAGTCAGCAATAGCAGAAAAAAAACAGTGAAAATCATCTGTGGGTTGAAAGGCTAACAGAACCAGCGAGGGCAGGACAGCCAAAGGGGCATAGATTGGGAGGACGCAGGGCTTTTTTTCTCATAGAACGCCCAGAACGGAGTTCCAGCACCTTTTTTGGATGGAACCTTGTAGGGTAGGCAAGGCAGGTTGTATGACATGTGTGAGTTCCGGCACCTTTTTTTTTTTTTTTTTTTTAGAAAAAAAGCAGTGGGAGGGCGGATATAGGTATGTGGGTGAAATTGAGGCACCCTGGAGTCATAAGTGTGGGAGGCTGCCAAGCACCCAAATTTTGATCACATGATTACTGACGCATTGCAAGAGCTGTAACTTTGGGGACCAGTCATAAGGCCCTTTGTTCAGCAGCGCCGCACTTCAGTCACTAAACGAATGGCTGTAAGTCAAGGACTACCTGTATCTATTTTGTTTCATTCATATTAGTCTTTCCTTCTAATTCACAATCTTCTATATGCCATGCCAGTCAACATGGGTTCATAAGTATTGCTTTCACCACTCACCATCCTCAATTTTTTTTTTTATAAAATTTTTATTAATTTTTATAATTAAACAACAAATACCAATATGATGCATTTACATACACAAGCAAAAAAGATAATCCTACTCAATACATTTTCGGAGACGCTCGGCAGTCCCCACCTTGCCTCCACCCTCATACACTTTCCTCTCCTTCCTCCCCCTAGACCCACAACCTCTCCTCCTTCCTCCTTTCCACCTCCCTACATCCCATCTCCCTTCTTAACCACCTCATCGAGTGCAGCTTGGGGTACCAGCCGAGCATTTCCTCTTTTCAATACAATTCCATTATTTACCTATAATATATAAATACATCAATTTTTATCTATCCCCTAATCCCCTTTCCCCCTCCCCCCCCAGACTTCCCAGAACTGAGTACAGGAATAATCACATAATAATCCAAATTTGACCCAAACAACCCATTCATAATATAAACAAGTATAAACTTACTGTAACTCTAATATACATTCAACTTAACTATGAACTATATATATAAATTATATATAAAAATATAAGTAACAATAGCTAATCAAAAGCTATATGATAATTGTTCATTTCATATTTTCTCTGAATATAATCTATCCATCTTCTCCATACCAAAATAAATTTCTCTTGATACTGATCCTTCAGGTATGCGGATATTTTTGCCATTTCTGCAAAATATGAAACTTTCTGTCTCCAATCATCCATAGTCGGTAATATCTCCTTTTTCTCACCATCCTCAATTGATGGTTTTACACAAAACTTTTCAGCAAGATAAAAAGTATTTGTTACTGACATTAGTCATATTCTGCTAATGATGAGGGCAAAATACTGGTTAGTTTTGTCATGTTTTTGTCTCAACCAATAACCTGCTTTACCCCAAGAGTGTACTCTATGAAAGCTTGGACCTCTGATTTAAGACAATGTATTGTTACCAGCTAGAAAGTACATACATTTTACGTGCACATTCAGATTTCTGGGGTTACTTTTCAGTTTCCTAGCCTAACTATGGCTAACTGTAGCCTAGAACCAGCGTGGCCCAGTGGTTAAAATGCAGTATTGCAGGCTAATTCTGCCGACTGCCAGCAGTTTGGTCCTGAGTAGCTCAAGGTTGACTCAGCCTTCCATCCTTCCAAGGTCAGTAAAATGAGGACCTAGATTGTTAGGGGCAATATTCTGACTGTAAACTGCTTAGAGAGGACTGTAAAGCACTGTGAAGCAGAATATAAGTCTAAGTGCTATTGTTAGTGCTAACCAACCACCCTGGGTTTTCTCTAATCCAAGTAGTCTCTCATCCAAGTACTAAGTAGGTCCAACCCTGCTTAAGTTGCCTCCTTCAACCAAGGTTAGCTAGGTGCTTCCAACTACCCTACTTGGGTTACAATAACTTACATGCATGCAGTTTGCATTTTATTTAAAAACAAAAAAAATAGGGTTCTACTCTCTATACCTCCCCCCTACTCCATCTATTTATAAAGAGTGTTATATTAGGATCCAGTTCTGGTTGTGCCGTGCTACTTATACTATGAAAATATTGGTATGGGGAAGGAAGCAGTGGCATCAGTTCCCAGGAAATTGCATTACACTGGCCAGAATGGTTATCAGTCTAGCTTGATATTATCTGCCCTGATTACAAATAGCTTTCAAAATCTGTGTCTCTCTTGCTATGTCACAGTCACCAAAAGGACAAAAAGTGTTTTGGGGAGAAAGAGGATACATAGCTAGAAAAAGCATATGCATTCTGGGCTACATGTAGGAACTTTTAATTTTTTTTCTCTTTTCCAAAAAACAGTTGTTTCCCCTCCATTTCCCTCATCAGTTCCTCAACAGTTACAAATAAAGTGCCTTTCATAATCATTGTATAATTTCCCCCCTGTTAGAATTATTGGTGTGAACTTTCTCTGCCCAGAGCATCTCCTAGCACCTCCATTGCTGAAGGAGAAGACATAACTTTGCTTTCCTCCCCCCCCCATTGGAAACATAATCATGAGTCATTCCTGTTGTGATTCAGTTACATCTGTCTGTCCAAGAAATGTATATAAATTGATTCTGAGCTTGTTTAAACAAGAAAAAGAAGGTGCTCTGTTCTTAATTTAAATATGTTGTTCTCATCTCCAACTGCACAATCAGTCCTTTAAGTTTTCTAAAATAAGTAAGGGATTATATAAGTACTTAATCTTATAAATAAGAGATGGAATTATTGTTTCCAGCCCAGTATTTTGCTGGTATTGGCATTGTTCTAAATCAGGGGTGTCAAACTGCCGGCCCGTGGGCTGGATGCGTCATGCCAAAACCGTGCCCACCCCAGCTCCGGCAATGGGGAAAAAGTCGCAATACGTCACGTGACATTGCGAGTTTGACACCCCTGTTCTAAAAGAATCCTTTTTTATTTTATTTCTTCCCTCTCATATCTTCTCCTGTTGGAAGGGAAGAATGAATTTCATCCTTATAAGGCCACTGGCTGAGGTTGAATTTTGCAAAATAGGGCCCTGATTTTTATCTCAATTTTATACAAACGGATTAGTCCTATCTCACGGTTCCTAGGAGAGTCAAGTTTGTGATAAGTAGAAGTTTATGGAAACCTTAGTCATCCACCGTGAGATAAGTAGGAACAATCCTTCTAGACGAAGAAGACGACGTATTAGACAAAAAATCGGTGTTATTTAGGGTAACGTAGAACACAATTTACACCCAATCTATTTCGTTTAAATTTGTTATGGTCTCAAGCAAGGGGCTTCTTTGCACTGCCTAATTATGCCTTACCCAATATAAATCAAAAACAGCCAGTTTGGTCTAGTGATTAAGGCACCAGGCTACAAATCAAGAAACTGTGAGTGGTAGTTCTACCTTAGGTCACAAAACCAGCTGGGTGGCCTTGGACAAGTCTTTCTCTTTTAGCTCTAGAAAAGAGAAGGTAAGGGCAAAACAATTCTGAAATACACACAGAGAGAAAGGGAGGGAGTTGGATATGGGCAGCGCAGTGGTTAGAATGCAGTATTGCAGGCAAACTCTGTCCACAGCCAGGAGTTCGATCCTAACTGGATCAAGGTTGATTCAGCCTTCCATTCTTCTGAGGTCAGGATTGTTGGGGGCAATATGCAGTAGGCTCACTCTGCTTAGACAGGCTGTAGAGCACTATGGAGCGGTATATGAGGCCAAGTGCTATTGCTAGTTCTGTATTGATATGCATATGGAAATAGGCATATATAAATATACCTGTTTTAAACTTTGATTCCTCATCTTCGATTCCTCATGAGAGATTCCTATGCCTGAATATGATTCGTGTTTGTCTCCCAGTGTCTGAACTAGTGAAATTCACACAGAAAATACAAACAGGGGAAAAAAGCCTTTTAATGTTCATAAGTTTTCAGATGTGCTTTAAGCATTTCATAGCAGCTTCTAGCAATCTTATACTAACAGAAAAATCTACTTATTTAAAGAGAATAAGACTAAGGAAAGGGGCTACATTAAACAGCAAAGAATGTTAAATGGAGGCAGAAATAACCGTGCATCGTGACATTTACTCTTGTGCTTGTATATTCAACCTGCCAGAACCTGATGTCAGTTTGCAAGAAACAAATGCCTGTGATGTGAATGCAAACTTTGGACAGATGAACCTTTACAGTGATGATTCAGGTAGGACTTTTTTCCTTGTACTCTGGTAAGCATGAAATGAAATCAGAAGCATATGCTCAGTCAACTTTTTGTTGTGATAGAAGCTTCGTACACATGGCCATGTAGTGCAGCATCGGGGGGCTGCTGTGTTCTTTAATTTGTGTTACTGCTTCCTTTGCCTACAATGGAAGAGCAAAATAAAATAGTTACACAAAGTGTAAATTGTCTGAACCATTTCCATATGTAACTTAGAGTCTCTCTCTGCCGAACTGTGTGCTTCAATTCTCCCATAATCCTAGTTGATTATGCTATGTAGTTTTTAACAGCCTGTAACTTTTCTCACTGACCACTTTGCCTTGCCGAGTTTAGGTGCAAGCTTGCTAGATAATCCATTCACCTTGTTCCCCACAAAGACATGCATTCCCATATATGGTGCACATGTACCCTTCCGATCATGTTCCATGTGAGCCTGCTCACAGAAATAGGAAATTTAAGGTTAGATATAAAAAAGGAAAGCAGTCGAGCAAGAGATAGAAAGAAACGGTCCTCCTTCTAGTTTCTGGACATCTTTGTCACTCTTTTGCCTGAAATACTCCTGTGTTCTGGATCTACTGCAATTAGACATCCAGTATTTTACAGTCAGTATCTTTATCTATGTTAGCAACTACCTAGAAATGAGGGACATTAACTCTCAAATGGACAGAATTAGTACGATAAATAACATTAAATGATCTTATGTGGATACATGAGAAGTTGGCTTCATCCCAACAGGAAGCATAGCATCTAAGTGAGATCATCATAGGTTTAGCATATATCAATGTCCAAATAATCTGTGCAATCATATGGATTACTCATACATAATGGCAGGTTCATTGGATACAGCAGCAGTTAGGAAGATAGGCAAGAATTTCATAGTTTCTTAAATGAGGACAAAACATCAAAAAACCCTTTTGGGATATTGAATTGTAAGTAACCGTGTAGGCTGTCATAGACTTTTGAAGTAGGTAAAGCATAAGTATACTTTTTTTTTAAAAGGCATGTAAATCTTTGTCTCCAGCAAGGCTCTTGGAAAACCCCCAAGTTCTATGGATTGATTCTACCCGTGCTAATAATAGTATTTTAGTCATATGAATTGCTAGTTCCTACTTACAGTTTATGTGGGAGTCATCATACTCAAAGTAATAAATGCTTAAATAATAATTAAAAGAAATGGGAAATAAAATACAGTAAGGGCATGCCTGTATCTACCCATGGAGCAGCTAATTAATGTTAGACCTTGGTCATTGCATAACTAGATATATTAAAAATAAAAATAATAAAATGAGCATGCCCTGCTGGCTGGCTGGCTGGACCTCTAATTATCAGTTTTTTGAAAAACAGAAGAAAAAGAATGCTGTGACCTGAGGAACCAAAGTACAAGCCAATGTAACCTGGATCATCTGCTCTTCTTTGAGTAGTCGTTGTCATGGTGCTTGCCCAAATTTATCCACCTCCTGCCTCTGCCTACCCTCAGAGGGCAGTGGACTTATGTTCTTGGCAAGCCTGTATAAGATTGAAGCCAAAGTATAGAAAAGGTTATGACTTTTGAGAGAGAAAAAGAGAGATGGTGACAGATACTGAGATTACAGAATAACAGAGTTGGGAGGGACTTTGGAGGTCTTCTAGTCCAACCCCTTGCCCAAGCAGGAGACTCTATACCATTCTGGACAAATAGCTGTCCGGTCTCTTAAAAACCTTCAAAGTTGGAGTACCCACAGTTTCTGAAGGCAAGCCGTTCCACTAATTAATTTTCTCACTGTCAGAAAATTTCTCCTTAGCTGTAGGTTGAATTTCTCTTTGATAAGTTTCCATCTGTTACTTCTAATCTTGCCCTCAGATGCTTTGGAGAACTCAAATATTGGAAAACTTCTATCATGACATCCCTAGCCTTTCTCTTCATTAAACTAGACTTAGCTTTGTCTTTTCCCCCAAAATGTTTTTTTTTAATATTTATGTAATTATTATATTTTCATTTCAACCTTTGGTCTATGCATTCTTTCTTCTCACATTTGTTTTTGTCTTTTATTGCTTATTTTTTTTAAGAAAAATAAAAATATTAGCAGATAGTTAACATGGAAAAGAGATTAGGCCTAGATTTATTTCCATGCTCACTTGATTAAGTTACTGTTCTTAAAATTATATTATCTTAAAATTCTAAATCGTGAATAGAAAACAAGGACAACATATCTTTGAAGGGAAGAACAAAAGATCTATCACACTTCACATTCAGTGCTGTACACTGACTGTCTAACCATTAATTGTGATATCATATTCTGAATAGGCAATTCTGTTCAGTTATGCACTTATTCAATTCTGTTCAATTCTCACATTCTGACCATACAATGTTGGTTAATTATAGGAAATGGAATAAAATATTAAACCTGGAAATCACAATAGCATGTGCTCCTTTAT